GTTTCGTCACAGCGGCTACTGTCTCGTTGCGTAACACAGCTGCCCAGCCGTTGCGCCGTGGCGTGGAAGTGTTAACCCTATGGTTGTAGCAACGCATGAGGCATCGCGTTGCGCTGAGTACACGATTTCAAGCGATATGTAACAATATTTTACTTCCGCGGCTACCGTACCCTTTAAAGATCAGTAATTACAGTATGTAACGCATAATTTATAACTAAGATATTTTATTTTACGCAAACAGTGTAATTTGTTATTTCTTCTAATTTTTAAAATAAATTGTTTATTTACATAAAGAACATTAAACAACTGGTCTTTGTAATGAGGACGATGTCTGTAAGGCAGGAGCGAATGTGTAAATATTACGTTNGCATCGCGTTGCGCTGAGTACACGATTTCAAGCGATATGTAACAATATTTTACTTCCGCGGCTACCGTACCCTTTAAAGATCAGTAATTACAGTATGTAACGCATAATTTATAACTAAGATATTTTATTTTACGCAAACAGTGTAATTTGTTATTTCTTCTAATTTTTAAAATAAATTGTTTATTTACATAAAGAACATTAAACAACTGGTCTTTGTAATGAGGACGATGTCTGTAAGGCAGGAGCGAATGTGTAAATATTACGTTGATGGGCTTCATGCTACAGGTGGTAATCGTGATGGGTGTGAATGAAGTGAAGGGACTCTGTTCTTCACGCGTTCTAATTAACTACCTAAATTTGTCGCCTAGAAAAACTTCGTCCTGCAACACTCTTGCTTAAAATAAACTAAACAGTGTTTGCATTTCTCACGTGTAAACATGTTGAGCTGTAATTTCAGGTAAATATACCAACAATTTTAATAATCAAAAGTAAATCCGTAATTATGTGAATAGTATGTTATAGTACACGCACAACAAACGTTTCTCTATGGAATTATAATAGTTCTCACTAAAGATTAAGTCGCCCATCACAGTGGCCATGCTGTCTAAAGCATGAACTCTTTTCGCCCCCTCAAACACGGGGCTCGTGTTTATGAATCCCACATGAGCCATGGATGTCCGTGTATGTGTGTATATAACAGCCTTGCGACGGCTGATCCCCCGTCCGAGGAGTCCTGCCGACTCTCCAAAATTAAGAAAGTGAAGTAAAATGAAGCCTTTCGCTGATTCCCTATGCACTAAAGTGACTTATGAAGTGTAGTAACTAGGTTCATAGGCCGCGCCACAGCTCAAGCGGTTAGCCGCTGGCTTCCCACCGCGGCGACCCCGGGTTTGATCCCGGGTCTGGTAAAGCGGGATTTGTGGTGGACAAAATGGCGCTGGGGCAGGTTTTCTCCGAGTACTTCGGTTTCCCCTGTCAATCTTCATTCCAATAANGATTCAGCGTACAAATCGCGGTTCTTACCTTCTTTCCGAATGTTCTAGTGTTGTTTTGTTTCCTCTCAAAGACTCGTTATTCGTGTTCCTGTACACGCTCTGACGTAAAGCATAATGCATGGCGCACTGAGTCCAAAACAGAAAATTTCGAAATTAAGGAATTTTTACTTGAAGGCCATCTATAGTACGAATATGTATATATTGTCACGCCGCCTGTGTGGTCTAGTGGTCGGAGTTCCTGGCAACAGATCAAGAGGACCAGGGTTCGATTCCCGGCGATACCAGATTTTCTGTGAAGTAGTGGTTCTGAAACGGGGTCCACTCAGCCTCGTGAGGATAAGTGAGGAGCTGTTTCAAGGAAATAGAGGCTCCGGTCTAGGAAACCGAAATTAACGACCCTGGGGATTCGTTGCGCTGACCATGCGACACCTTCTATCCGTTTAGTTGGCACTAACTTCGCCGACAAGTGGCGATCGCTCGGTCGGTATAGTTCGCTTGCGGACCCAAGCCACGGAGTTTGCTTTCGGTTTGTTTTATCCGGAAGGTCGCGGGTTCCAGCCCCGATGAGGTCATTGGATTATTTCAGTTGACCTAATCCTTCCAGCCGCACTAGGCCCTGGGATTTACTTAGCCTCTAACAGAAATGAGTACCAGGAATTAATTAAATAATTTTACTGGGGAGTAAAGCGCGGCCTGAGCGTAAGGCTGACAACCTTACCGCCACCTTTGAGCCGATTGTCTAGATAATGTGGGACCCTCAACGTCTCACAACCCTATGGGCTTACACGGCCTGGTACAGGGATAGCTTTACTTTTACTTCTGACAGTGGAGATTCTTCACCTTGACTCAGATGTTATTTCTTTCAGCATGATGGAAGCACCGGTAAAGATGTCGGACATAAGAGAAAACACTGTGAACCTTTCATCATTTGCTTCAAGTTTTCAATTTTTCTGAGTAGTGATAATACACTGTCAAAGTTAACAATACTTCTGCTTTTATAGGATGCATCAAAGAACAGTAGAGATATGTGATGTATTTATATGTTGCTGACGTTGTGAAAAGTGGTGACATTTAGGGAAGATTGACAGTTCACTGTTAGGATATGCATGAGTGGATATATCCAGAAGTTGGCGGAGGTACCTTGTTGATGGAGCAAGTTCTGGATAGACATCGACTGTAATATGCGCTGATGTTAAGGCGTAGATCAAGCAGCGTACCTGGGACAGCAGAATAAAATCTTCATGTGTTTTATCCCGTTGTTTTGTAACTTTATTGTTGTGTTCGCATTCTTTGCAGCGGGAACGTGTTTGCCGATCCTTTGCTTAGAAACGGGTTGCATAACACCGCTGTTTACTCACCTGTTTCCTAGCAACGGCTGTACACGCTACAAAATTATACAGCAGCTTTGGATCCGGTTGTACTTTGAATTGCGACTTCTCCGTGCTTAAAGAATGGGCTAGATGGAGCAGAGGCGTTATCTCCAGTTAAATATTTTGTACAGATTCTTGTACCACCCCGTTCAGAAATCAAAACTTAATTGTATTAATTCATATGAAGAATCGCCGAGGTGTTTCGGCAACTTCTCCACCCGCTCTGTTGAGCAGAAAGCCTATAGAAGAGTCTGCAGGCGATATGAGTACATCTGTTTAGTTCACATAACAACGCGGATACGAAAGTTCATATTTAGAACATGATAAGAACAAGACAAGCTGTTATTACCATAATATGCTTATGAATATTTATAGTGTCGAATTATTTAAGGTATAAATCTTCATTCTTAATTTCCGAGTCGAAAAAGCAGTGGTGGGCCACTCGGTAGCGTAGTTGGTTGAGGCACTATACTCCAAGCCGGAAAGTCGCGGGTTAGAGTCCCGATGAGGTCATTGGATAATTTTCAATTGGCCTAATCCTTCCAGCCCAACTATGACCCTGAGGTCGACTCAACCTCTAACAGAAATGAGTACCAGGAA